AGAGCATTTGTCTATTTGTCTATTTTGCTGACTTAGGAATCGGAGAGGTATCCGGCACACACCCGCCGGCTAGCTCACGTTTGTGTTTTCAGGGAGTAAAGCGACGACGACGTTTGGAGGAGTGCAAACTTGATCAACAGAATCATACGAGAAGATTATTCTGTGCTCGTATAATTATTAATAACAAAAATCAAACTTAACTAATGAATTACAAAATCAATTTCTTGGAATTTCAACTTAACTTAATTTGTAACCAAAAACTTAATTTATAATCATAGATGTTTCAAAATGTGTTTAAATTGGATAAAATTTTTAAATTAAATTATATGCATGGATTAAAGATCAAAATCAAACAAATTTCTAATTTTCAAAGCTTTTCCTTTTTCTCTTCAAAATATAAGATTGAATTAGTTCAAATTCTTCAAAATCCATGATGCATGTATAATTAGAGTATTAAACTTGTAAATTTTGCTCATACATGCAACAATGAGGCTTAATTTCATGCAAGACTACAACATCAAACCCAAAATAATTAATTTCCATAACCATGAACCTAACTTTATTTCTTCATCTTTGTTTTCTAACTCCTTCCAAATATATGAAATTGGAGCCAAACTCATCTTTAATTTCAAGTGTGATACAAGGATTCTACAAAATCAAGGTTGAAATCCTTTCCTTTAATCTTCAATTTGAAATTTTTTTTGATGATCTTCCATTTTCCTTTCTTGAATTTCCTTCAAAACCCACCAGCACAAACAAACAAGCTCTCTCTCTCTCTCTCTCTCTCAGTTGTGTTCTTTCGAATCAGGATCCTCTCCTTCATCTCTCTCTTTGTTTCTCTACTTGCTGGGCTATTGAGCCCACTTTCGAGCCCAATTTCGATGATCCGAACCATTTACATTTTTAGATTTGTTAAGTATATCATACCAATAAAAGTTGATTGAATATCGAAAACTATGTGTTCGGATCATCGAACTAAAAATTATTTTTCTTAAAACTTTAATAAATAGTTTTCCAAACACATGCTTTCTGATATTCGATCAATTTGATTTTTTACAGGTATGATATACTCAACAAATCTTAAAATGTGAATGGTTCTGATCATCAAAATTGGGCCCAAAAGTGAGCCCAATAGCCCAGCAAATAAGGAGACAATGAGAGAGATCAAGGAGAGGATCTTGATTCGTTCTTTCCAGCCAAAAAAGTAGATGATGAATAGCAATGTACTACACCCCCTTTCTTTATTCCACTTTCTTTTCCCCCTTTATATATATATATATATATATATATATTAAAATGGTGGAACACTCTAATTCTCTCGTCCTATTTAATTGACTTGATTAGATTATTTCACTAATCACATATTAACGTAATTAGTCAATTGCTAATATTAATTAATTATGCCTAATCTTTAATTTAATTAGTCTAATTGGCTTCAATTAAAGCTCAATAATTATATTTAATTTTTACCATTCTAAATCAGATTTTTAATCAAACTCCCAAAAGGTTTCAAATATTAAATTAAACTTATTGCCATCATCAATTTTGATTTCCCAAATCATTTAGGCCTTCAATTTCTGATCACACTTATTTCTGTTAATAAATTACATATTCAAATTGAACACCTCATAATTAAATTTAATTCATAATAATCACAATTCCCAATCTTCATAACTTGATCAACTCTAATTAGGACCCAACTAATAAAATCTCAATTTTACTAAACTGAATCGAATATTTAATTAAACTCTCATATGGTCCGATACTGGAAATTAAAACATTTCAATTCGTCAATTTCACCTTCTTGAGCCACTTAAGTTTTTAATTTCTAATTCCAAAATAACTCTTTTATAAAATTATATACGAATCAACCCCAATATTGTTCATCAATCCCACAATTAAATCGAAATAATAATTAATTAAAATCTAATCACCTTGATTAATTAAATGTAAAATATTTTACGTGGCGGGGTCATCACACAATTCATGCATTCTTAGGACTTCATAGCCCGCTATCAGCTATGTTTGTGTTCACCTTAGTGAAACCTCCACCCTTAGTCACTTAACCACAAACTCTCCAGCTTAAAGGCCACAGCCAAGCCTGCTATCAGCATGCTATGCCTTAGTACCAAGCCCAAGGGGCCTTCCTTAAGTCCTACCTATGCGACTAAGGCAGGTCCATGACCTGGGTAATGGAAATGGAGTCCCTTACACTTAAGCTACCCTATTCCCGTTTTCGTGGGGTTGTCACGGTATACTGGTTTACCTTTGGGCCTGCTATTAGCTCTAACCAGTGAAATATGAGACCTGCTATTAATCCTAGGCCTACGATCAATCCAAGGTGAGGTACCTCCCTTCACAAGTTAGTTGCGGCAACTGCAATTACTACAGTGGTTGCAGTTGCTACGGTGGAGATGTCCTGTTGCAAGTCCAAATAGTTACCCCAACAATATTAAGGATGGCGGCATCGACAAAGTACCTCTACAACTCGTAAGCTGCAAATGTTGCCTCTACAACTTAGTCGCTTCGGTTTTCTGTTTCCCTCAACAACTTCGAAATGGCAGCGGAACCAACAATATTAGAAATGGCGGCTCCGAGGCAAAAGTGCCTCAGCAACTTTGACCGTTGCAAGTAATACCTCTGGAACTTGACTTAGACACTTTCTTCGTGGAGTCTGTTAGGATCCTTGGCGGGTCGAACCTACTTCGGCCCACTTGTTGGCCCACTTCTCTTGAGTTTTAGCCCATACTCCTTTAGACATTCTTGGTCCCCTAAAAGGGGCGATCTCAGCACTTAGGCCCATACTTGGAGTTCAATTTCTAACCCTCTACAAAGTAGAAGTCAATTCTTGCTATCATGAACTCACATATACAATCAATTTCATTTATATGCTTCCAATTTCATGATAGGGCAACCACAACCTAAAGCCCCCTTATTTTCATGTTTTTTTCCTAAATGGAGTCACGCAACATATTCATACCAATCTACCTAATCTTCATGAACCTTACAATTTCAAATTTATTTTCATGTGTACATGATATTGAAAACCCTCAATTTCATATACATTAATGACACTTTCTAGCTTTGAGTAATTTCAAGAATTTTAGCTTCTACAAATATAATATGGAATGAACATATAAGAAGACAAAATTACTTATTTGAAGAAAAAATGATAATAATTATAGTTTTTAGTATTTTTTAGTTTGTGTAAGTCTTAAAAAAAATTATGTAGTTTTAGAATTTTTAGTTGTGAGTTTTGGTTTGTGAAAGTAGAGAACTCAAGTAGGAAAAAACAATTGGGTTTTTATCAGAAAATTTGATGTAACAAAAAATGACTTGCCAAATTTTGAGCTGAATTTAGCACAATATTTTATTTTATTTTTATAACAGAAAGTAAGAGCACAAGATCTTATTTTTTTTCATTTTTTGACAATGAATTTCACTCACCATTAAAGAGGAATTTTTGTAAAACTTAGCCATTTTTTAACTTTAGCAAGCCTTTCAACTTGATCATTAGAATTGCTCTCATCCATGGGTTAAGCTAGTTTGATTCATTCGTAGAAAAGTAATAAAAAGCGAACTTTAGCATCTCATTCTCAAGCAATATAAAGTGAATTTTAGTGTTTCATTGTCGTTTGATAATATTATTAGTTTTTTTTTATTAAAAAATAAAAAACTTCATTGATGTATACAAAAGTTTTGAGAACAAACAAAAATCCAGATAGTAAGAGCATCTCTAATGGTGAAGCAAATTTTTCACCAAATCTGAGTAAAAAAAAAAAAAACAATTTCCTCAATCTGAAACGAGCTGCTCCAACCGTTACACTGTAACGTCCATCAAAATAAAGGGGACGTCCGGTGGGACGACCGGCCGGTTGACCGGTTGGTGCCTCTTGAAATATTCCTCCATCTTTTTCTTCTTTACCAGCACTTTTTTTTTTTCTTTTTTCTTTTTTTTTTTGATAAATAACTACCCGCTCTTAAAACTGCTGAACTCATGTATAATATAATACCAAAAATTATATTATTTTTCCTAATGTATCTTGGCCATACGAATAATTCTTTTTTTTTAGATTGTCATATCATCATATCCATATTGGATCCACATCCATGCTTCATAGAGTATATCTATTTCTGATAACTAATTTTGGCAGCCAACATGTGCAATCAGCAAAAACTTTAATAGCTTGTTTGGATTGAGTGATTTGATGAGAAATGATGAGAACTCTTTTACAAAGAAAGAAAAAGAAATCACATCCATATCCCTATTTCGCACGATTTGCTTTCTAACCCATCAAAACATGATAGAGAAAACGCAATCATCTCTTTTTTTTTTCTCACACCAATGAGAGACCACAATCATTTATTTTATTTTCTCAATTCATATACCAAATGAAGTGTAAGTCCATATCTAGTCCAGCACAAAGAGTTATTCTTAAATTCCTCCAAAAATTACATTGAAATGTTTTCGAACAAAACAACAAAAATCACAAAACATGAACAGAGCACGCCACATTAGGGGAAAAAATGATTCAGAGGGAAAATAAATTTGGAGAACGATTTTGGCACATATAATCGTACCCGTTAATTCAAACAAAAGCACCAAGGTCACTTCAATTCACATGTAAATAAGTGTATGTGTGACTGTGGGTGTGAGAGAGAAGAGTACCTGAATGAAGATGAGTGAGGAGAGACGAGACTTCCCTTTTGCTACCTTTGTATACCCTATGAATCAAAGTCATAGATAGTAAAATCAGAACAAAATCATAAAATAAAACCCTAATAAATAAACAAAACGAGAGAATCAAAGGAAAAGCATACTTGAGTCGACGACCATACGATAGGAGAAATCAGAACCGTCCGTTCCGGATGGCCTCCCATTTCCAATTGTAGGTTTCCTCTGCTGCATCTCTCTCCCTCTCTCTTCGTCTTCTCCTCTACTGCGTTTGCTTTGTTCAAGGAGTAAATTATCAAAGGTCCAAACATAAATGGTTAAATTACAAATACATGACATTTACTTAAAATATAAATTACCTATTATAGTTTGAAAATTATATCTTACTCATTGAAGTTTTTAATTACATCAGAAATTTATATTAATTAATAATTTATAAAATTTTATTAGGAATTTTTACCAGTCAGTCCCAATAATTGAATCTATTATTTATTAGGTCTTAAGTTTCTATCTCAAGTACCAAGAAATCCTGTTATATTTTTTTATTTCGATTTTACCCTTGCTACCAGCTGGTAAAAATCCCCATTTAAATCATCCCAAACACTTTCTAAATCTTTAATTGTTTATAATATTTATTAGTCATTAATTTTTCAATTTGTATTAACTTCTCTCTTAATCATTTTTCCAAAACTCTCCTTTTTTCTCATCTCTTTCTCTCTCTCTTTAGAAAATACCACCATTGTAGGCATGGCCATGGCCATGGCCATCCACCCACAATCACCACCATCGTCGTCCGTCACTAACCACCAACCATCTCCACCATCGCCGATCAATACTTCACCATCTCTCAACCGCTTGACTCGCTCGCCTAACATTGTTGTTTTCCTTCCTCTTTGCCATTACCGTCACTCTTCCTCTATCCTCCATCCTTTATCTTCCATCAACGTCGTTCTTCTTCAATCATCAATCCACCATCTTCAACATCAAACTTCGCCAATGGCTTCAAATTTAGTTGTTTTCAATGCTAACATACCATCTTCGGCGCCAATCTGGTACTTTACATGGTTGCCTATGAGATCGAGACTCTTTCTACAGTGTGTTGGTAAAGATCTACATTTGTAAAATATGTTGAACTAATCTGATGAATTTATCACTTAATTCAGTGATAAAATTTCTTACTAATCTGTTTAATATATTGTGGACTGCTGCTGCTGGAATTTTGATATTAATATAATGATAAACTTATCACTAATTTTTGTTCATATTATATTTATCACCTCTCTTTTCCTCACTCCCTCTCTCTCTTTTTATTTCTCTTAAACCAAATCTGTTGTATCAGTGATAAATGTATCACTAATATATTTCTTTGAATCTTGTGTTGATTTGTGATAATGATAACGAGATTTTTTTTTTTTTTTTGGTAATCTTTTAACAAACAACTAGTGAAAAATTTATCAATGAATGTGTTTATCACTATTAAATTTATTACTGAATATGTCTTTGAATCTTTTGTTAATTTGCAACGATGATGATGAGATTTTCTTTTTGTAATTTTTTAAAGAATAGTCAGTGATAAATTTATCATTTTTGTCACTAGAGAGAGATGAATATGCAGTATGATTAATCTATCAGTGATAAATTTATCATTGATTGTTGAATATGCTGTATATTATTGCTAATTTTTTATATTTATACAATGATGAATTTATCACTGATTTGTCATTGTAGATGTGAATATGTTGAATGGGTCAATCTATCAGTAATAAATTTATCACTGGAAAGAGGACAAAGAGCAGATGGTAAAGGCATGGTTATATTGATCTACAACACAAAGGCTAACAATTTTCTACTAAGGCCTTTCTTTTTTTCTTTTCCTCTTCATCCTCTCTCTCTCTCTCTCTCCCCCCTTATTCTTCTTCTTCTTCTTCTTCTTATTCTTCTTCTCCTGTCACCATCAAATATTAGGAGATAGTCCGAAGGTTGCGGAGGTTATCACCGGCGGTTGGAAATACTCGTCAATGGCTAGAAGTGAGAGGTGGTGGGTCATGGCAGTGATTTGATAATTGAGTTGTTGAAGGAGGCGTAAGAACGGTATTTTGGAAATATTTAGAGGTGAAAAAATCAGTAGGACTTACAGGTAAATAAATCAGGTCAATAGGACCGGCCCATAAGTCCCCCATTTTATTATTGTACAAGATAATTAGAAATTTTATTTTTTCTGCTAATTCTGCTATTTAAAAAATTCTATAAAAGTAACATTTGTAATTTGTAAAATTTTAGTAAGTAACCTATATTTTAAACAAATTTTAGAGTGCATTTATAATTTATCTTCTTCCTTTTTTGGGGGTACTTGGGAAATGTTGCATTTGTAATTTATCTAACATAAAAAGCAAAGCCAAAAGTTGTTTCTGAAATGCCCCTTACAGTTATTATTTTTGTAATTTCGAATCACCTTCCTTGGTGAATTCTATTTTATTATGCAATATCAGCAGTCTTTTACAAACATATCACTACAAAATTAACAATCTTTGAGTCTGCCTACCTTCTTTGGGATATACTCATAGTTATTATATGGCAGCCAAACTACACCCCACTCAATTTGTTAGATCCATATCGAACTCCAATGTGATAACTTAATACCAAAAAGGAAAAGAAAATTTTAAATAAATGACCACCACAACAACTTGTTTTGAGTCTGCCTACCTAGTTTAGGGCATCTCCAAATCCCCAACTCCACACCCATCAATCTAATTTTTCCCAAATTTTTTTAGCAATCATGGTAATAAACACATACATACAAATCGCCAAAGGGTGGCAAGAGATATTAGAGAAAAAATTATCTACAAAATTAGGGTTACTTGACACCCAATTTGTTCCAAATTTTTTTAGCCAATATGATAATAAACACATGTATACAAATCACCAAAGTGAACCATATTTATTAGGGCAAAATATAACTATAAAGTTAGGGTTCTTTGGATTAATGTGTGCGCGTGTGTGTGCGTATATAAGAGAGAGAGAGAGAGAGAACGATTCGGAAAACTTACAGTTCCGTATTCAGGTTTCGGGTTCGTTACAGTCGTATTTGGGTATCTCCGTGTAATAACCCTCATTCTTGTCTTGGTCATGTTCATGTGCATCCGTATGATTTTGTTTTGTTAAGCTTGCATTTGTAGATTTTGAGTTGTTTTGCCTAAAGGTCTCTATCTTGACTTGATTTTGTTAAGCTTGCATTTGTAAAGGTCTCTATCTTGTTTTGTGTTTATGTGATTTGCTTGAGTATTGCTTGTATGCTTTGTTCCTTGCTTAGTGTGTGTAACCTAGGTCCCACCCTTGAACCTCTTATACCTAGGACCATCTTGGAACCACTTTGGTTGACCTCCACCCTCACCCTGGCATGTCATCATCTAGGTCGAGGTATGCATCACCTAGGCCGAGATGTGTATCATCTAGGCCGAGATGTTATAATCTAGGCAACCAACATCCTTGATCCTCGCACCTAGTGATCTTGTTCCTGGATTGGTATGACCTAGACCGAGGTGTGGCACATCTAGGCCGAGGTGTGGCACAGCTAGGTCAAATGTTATCCTTCCTAGTCGAGATCATTGCCTTGTCAGAGTGCCTTTGTCACCTTGCTTGTTATACACACTTTGTCATACCCTTGTCTTGTCATTCTGTTACCTTTTTGGGAAGATCCAATCCGGCGTTGCCACGTGTCCCAGCAGAGGGTTAAGCCAGCTAACAGTGAGAGACCCATATCATTTTGTCATATCCTAGCGTTGTAGAGAGAGAAGCTCTAGGAAGAGGAAGAGAAGTTCATAGAGTGAGATAGCTAGATTCCAAGTTTGATCCTTAGAGTTGGAACCGTTAAATTCGTATTTTGAGGTTAGATTCTTGATCTAATCTTGTTGTTCTTTACGTTAATATGATCACATTGCATGATCTAACATGATTCATAAGCCATGCATTGATTTAAAGTTTGGTTTTAGAAAGAGGAAATGATGTTCTTGTGTTCTTGAAGAAAAAAACCTTGTTTTGATCCGAAAATTTGTATCAAGTTCCATGTTTTGTGTTTGTTTTCATGAAATCTTCAAGTATAGGTACCCAGGTCGATATCTTTGAACTCATATCATGAACCCTTTGATTTTGAATAAAGAAGTTACGATTTTAGCATTCATGTTCTTCATGTTCATATTCTTCGTGTTCTTCAAAAAGAAACCCAGATTTTCCAAACTTCAGTTCCCTGAATGTGGTTACCGGGACCACACCTCGGCCAAGAGGTGTGGGACCTCGGCCAAAACCTGGTTGGTACCCAGCGTGTTTTCCCGAGATGAAAAACAGTATTTTAACTCCCAGCACATGTTTTGCTTTGTCTTGACTTAGTTTTGAAAGAAATGCCGAGATCATTTACACTCATATAGAGCTTGATTTAGAGATGCATTGCACAACCATCTTTGAGCATCTCTTCTTGTCTTCCTGAAATGCAATCAGTGGACTTTGCCATGTATTTGTAGGTCTTGGATTCTTGCCTTAATCCCTGCACCCGAAGAGCTATGTGAGTGGTATTTTTAATAAAGCTATGTTCTAATGTTTTGATAAAAGCTTTGCTTGTTTCGTTTTGAAAAAGTGTTTGCTCGAGTATGAATGATTATTCCTATTTTGGTATCGAGTATTATCTTGTTTTGATGACATTCTTGGAAAGTCCTTAGTGCTAAGAGACTATAATGTTTGAGGTATCTCCCTTGCCACCGACGGTGTTGTACGGGTGGATTTGTCTAATCGATTCCGGGTCGATTATTCTCTTGTTTTGTCAAGAATGTCATCCCTTGTATTATATTGATGCTAGTAAGCATCCCTTAAAGCTTTGAAAGACTTGATAGATGAACTTAGTTCATCCCTTGATTTGTACAAGCTATGCTATGTAATGTTTTAATAAAGATCTCGAATATCATTCATTCAAACATTTATTACTAATATCATTCACTGAGTATCCAAACTCACCCTCTCCTTATATATATGTAGGTGACGAGCAAGAAGGCTGTGACGCATAGATGTATTTTGCAAGTTGTGTTCGGAATCATATTTTGCTAGCATCTTGAAGATTATGCTTCTTAGTTTGTAATTCATGTCTTTTGTATATTTCGGCTTGAGAAGCCTTTTGATCAAGATGTAATATGTACTTTATTTTATTTGTATCCAAGTTGTAAACCATGTTATAATGTATGTCATTTCATTTGATCTATGCACAGCTCTTGTGAACTATTTAGATTTAAACTTATTGCTTCCGCACTTGTAAACCCCATATGTATACTCTGATTGTGTGTGAATCCTGACAAGTTGGCCTTTGGTAATCTCGGATTACTGGCCATCATGGCACCATTTTACTAGGGGCGGAATGGGGTCGTGACACTCCATCTCCACATCTACCTATGTACATGGTGGTCGTTGTCTTCCTCCCGTTTGTTACTTCCCCATTCCTTCGTTAGTTCCAAAACTAGGTTCAGTTTTGAGAGAGACAGAACAGAGACACGGTAGAAATAAGGGGTGTACGTGGTGCAAGTTGGTGCAGTTTATGAGTAAAATAGAAACCGTACGGCGGGTGGCAGATTGATATAAGTGTCATTAGAAATTGTCATTTTTCTTATAACAAACCGGCAGTTCAGTTGACAAATAATGGCGGCTTCGACTTGGCAATTCAAGCGGATTGGCGGTTTATAAAAAAATACAATTCAAATTATAGAACTTGAATCAAAAAGTAAAATGATTTAATTTATAAATTAACTAAAATAGTCAAAATTAAAATAGATGTTCTCATTCATCTAATCTAACATTAAACATTGACAAACTAATAAACTAAAAATCCAACAATTTAAACAAACTATACAATAACAATTTAACAACGCAATAAATACTAAAAAGAATATTACACATCACTTGTATTATCCCCGTCCATTATCTATTACAAAATACAAATCTTTTATAAATTAATTTTCAACAATATTATGCACTCAGAAAGCCAAAATCAAAGAACCACCCACGAGAGCTCTCAATGTAAATACATGACCAAACAGTTTAAATTCTACACAGATCGGAATCGAAAACCACAAAATCACTCAAACCCAGAATGACGAGGCTGTGAATCGAAGAAATGGGAACGACCTAGATCACAAAAACCACATGCAACACAAAACCCACAAAGGGTAGTGATTATGAAAGCAACATTAGTGTGAAATGTGAAATTCCGAGCCATGAAAACCCTAGACATTGATCCAGAGAAGCTGAAGAAGAGTTCATGGTCGAAAATGGAGTCCGAAAAATCAGTCTTACATATATATATGTATATACTCTACACAGAACACAAAGAGAAACACTACAAATAAACCTATCGATGCGTTATGGGATAACGAGAGAGTTACATACCACCGAAGGCGAGTGGAGACTAGCGACGACGAACGAAGAGCAGTGGCGGCGAGTGGAGATTAGTGGCGACAAGCGATGAGCACTAGCGGCGAGTAGAGAACCAACGCCGGAAAGTCTAACGGCGGTGACAGCAAGGCAAGTAGCGCGGTGGCGCCGATCGGCAAGGTAAGGAAGAAGGCCAACAGGGTACGAAACAGATGAATGAAATGAGATGTTTTGGGAGGTGTGAATCAGGTCCGTTTGAGATTTGATTATGTAATAGGTTAGGGGGTGTTTAGCCCATTATTTGGATCACAGTTATTTATTTGCTCACATAATCTGTCTATTATATTATTTTTAATTGAATTATTTTAAATATCTCCTTAATCCAATGGTTGGAATGTAACCTGAATATATATATATAAATATTTATTGTATAAAATTAATG